TGTAAATTCGAATATGAAACGGCTGTCTTTCTACATTTTCTGTAACATGCCAAATTGACGTAAAAGATACAAAAATATAATTATAATATCAAATATAATTTAATTTAAATTGCTATAAATTTGTTTGTAAAAAGAAATACATAATTCCAATTATCTATCAGTTATTAATTTAATATAGAATTTACAGATGAATTATTTGATTACAGTGTACATTAATTGTAAGATTATAATACAATCGGATACAAATAAAATAAAATTTTTAAAATATAGATATATAACTGATTTTTCAATAATAATATTATTAATTTCGCAGATATAAATTTTTATTAAATTACTGTATGTATATACATGTATTGTTTGCAGGTTCGTAATAATTATTGTGTTTATTATGCTTTTAATTAAATTGTATATATGTTTTAATAGGAGATATTCATGTAATTATCGTAGGTAATCAATAGACTGTTTAATTCCAAGTGTCAGAACTAATACATACATATTGGTACTAATTATTCTATTTAATTATATGTTGGTACGGTAGCGAATTAATTTTAATCAAATTTGATTAATCAAATTAAATGAAAATGGATAAACAAAATTATTAAATGATACAGATAAGGTAAAATAAATACAAAAGGCAAAATAAAGTAATAAATTATATAAAATAAATCGAACAATTGATGCCAAATTTGAACACTGGAAATGACAATAAAAAACTTTTTAAACTACACAGCGGATTTTATCAAAATAAATAAATTTCATATATATGTTCGTTTACACATTATTTATTTATTGTAAACAAATTCTAGAACAATATACAACGTATATACTTTATTTTATTTATATCTTTTATGTGATATAGAACGTTTTTCCAAACCTATTAAATGATAAACATTTTTTTTATGGTTTACTGGAACTGGTTAAAGTTAAATAACTTATTGAGGCTTTTGACTTTTTTTAACTTTTTGACAAATTGAAATGTTTTATTAATTTTTGTGTCTTTCAAAAAAAACTCTCATATTTATTTCAATATTGTTTGAAACATTTTCCTAGTATGTGCATAATTGAAGAAGATTTCTGTGTTCCTTATTTGTAAATTGAAGATATTATATTAACTTCAAATTAAGATCAAATTGCAATCAGAGAATATCGCTTTGTTAAATATAAATTATTTATAAAAAAAATCTGTTAATAAAATTATTAATAAATTGTTAATAAATTATTAATAAATTATTAATAAATTATCTGTTAAAAAATTTGTCGATAAAAATCTTATAGAAATTACCATCGTACAAATGTCATCATTATCAGATTATATCTACAGAAAGCTTGCAAGGTACTCTTATTCTAATACCATATAACAAATAAATTACATAATAAATCGTTTTATAGATTTATATTATGATTAAATATTAGGATTAAAAGTATATTAAATTAAATATTAGAATTTCCTAAATTTCTGTCGCTTAACCCTAACATTCAATAAAGTAGCGAAAAAAAATTATTTCCCCTTTACAAGTTTCATTTGTAAAGGGGAAACTTTAAATTTTAAGAACATGGTGGATTTGGCCATAAAAAAGTATTTCGATGTGTTTTTAGCAGAAATTTTCTAATTTTCTTGATGAAAAATATCCGCATTTTTCCATTCGCTACATAATGTTAAAATATTTTTGAAGAAAACGAATTCCAGATTATCAGAGGCTTTAAATTTTGAAATGAGGCCAATAATCGTTGCACGATTTCTTTTTCACAAGCTATAGCAATTTAAAATATCGACAAGTTTTCATCGAAAAAGTTATTACGTTTAATTAAAAAGAAAATTATTACAAAAGGAATTTGCACGAAATATCTAAAATTACGAGTATATTAAGCGATGAAAGTGTAGAACAGTCGAGCTATATGATACAGTATTGGAGTAAATGCAACCTTTTTATTCTGCGATATGGAACGTTCCCTTTCATACAATGGTAATATTCATCGATAAACGTTGAATGTTACAAATACGGAAAAGCTACTTGTAACGTATTGTAAATTACGGTGCTGCATCATAAATAAATTGTTAATCAGAATAAAATTATTAAATATCCTGTTGTTTTAATTCCGATAATATTACGTATAATAAATCCATATTGAACATATTACTTGTATTACACGTATTTTTCATGCAAATATGCGGTTGTAAGAAAAAACATGGCTTGCACAGGATGGCCACTGAAAAACTGAAGGAAAAGTCATAATTTGTGAGAAGGAGAATGGTGGGCATTTGATATTCACAGATAATACTGAAAAAAAACCATTAATTATATTTCCAAATAGAATAATAAAAAATTAAAGAAACATGTGTTTGTAAAAAAACTTTTTGTTTTATGTCATTCAGTCTTTCGGTGACCACCTTCGATACATTTAGCAGAATATACCTCCCCACTTAAGCGTCCACTTTCGGTCCAGAATGTGGATGCTTGAGTGGGAACTACTATACTACTATTTTCAAGATCGTTTAAAAATCGTTTAAAAATCTTAACACTAATTTTTCCTATTAATAAAATTTCATTTTTTTTCTTTTTAGAATATATCATACTTAAATGTTTATATATTTCCTATTATTATATTAATTTTATTATCTTATTATCTTATTATAAATAATACTTCTCTTTCTTTCTAATCATTTAGGTATATATAAAAGTATGCTATTTATGTGTATATAATTTGTTTATATTATAATTTATTTTGTATAAAAATGACCAAAATTATATGTATATATGTATATATAAAATTTATATTTATATAATATATAATATATAAATTTTATATATATATATATATAATTTTGGTCATTTTACTTTGTAAATTATAATGTAAATAAATTAACAAAAATAGAAGATATATATGTATAAATCACAAAAAAAAGGATACGAACAATCGTTATATTCTTCAAATTTTATGAATTTGCGTTGTTTTACTTGATATAAATTAAATATTGAACTTCGGTTAAATTAGAAAAGTTTGGTTATTTTTTCAACTACTTTTTGAAACTATATTTCACGGTTTTTTGTGTGATAAATGCATAAATCCTATATTTACTATTGAATGAGTGCATAAATTTAAATTTTTTGAAATTGTGCCATACAATATTTTCCTATTCCCTATTTTACTATTGAATGAGTGCATAAATTTAAATTTTTTGAAATTGTGCCATACAATATTTTCCTTACTACAGATATATATTTACATGTTCTTTGTGTACTTTGTATGCATAAATACTCATAGATTAGCAATTGGATCAAGTATATAACTTGATTCTTAATGAATACAGAAAAAAAATGTCGAAGAAAATTTTACTTTTTACAGAAGTGGATCGGTGCAGTTAAAGATGCAGTTACACTCTTCTTTAAAATGAAATCGTATGATTTTTTCTTTTTCTCTCTTTTACAAAAATTGATTCCTCGAAAGATTCTGAATAAAAAAGTAGTTAAGTACAATACTTAGTACATTACATTTATCATGAATAAAATTTGAAACATCACTTAATAATTTTTTTATTCAGAACGTTGTGAAGAAATGTCGCAAAAAGAAAAAAAGAGCAACTGCATTTTGAAACCTTTTAACATTTCGAAACTCAGAATTCTCAAAAGTCGAAGTGCTAATTTTATTTTTTAAATTTTTTATTCTAAAAATTAGAATTATAATTTTCCAGAATAAATAATTTTTTACTACAAATTTCATTGGCCACAGTTAAATAGAACACCATCAATATAACACCATATAAAATTATCCAAATTCTTACTTAGGAATACTAATATTCCTGGATCTAATCTACTCCTGTTTTTACCGACTATTATAGTGTCGGATGTACTAAAAAAGTTTTTCAGAGTATACCGTTGATAGTGAGGCAATAAGATATTTTTTTTTTTATAATTTCTTTAGATTTGAATATTCTATATTATCATTTTCGAATTACGATCGATCGTACATCTGCTTATATCCTTAAAAACAGTAAAGCATTTAAGCATTTGAAGCATTTTGCACTCAATATTTGAGATACAAATAAATCAAACATTCTTTATTCGCGTTACAAATAATTCTTTACTCATTGATTTCATTCCTTTGCCTATCTGAGTTTCGAATCACGAACAAAAGTATAGTTTCTTACTAATGACCACAAACATATAATAATCACCTGGATCCCGTCACACCAGGGAATCAAAGGAAACGAACAAGCCGACTCCTTAGCCAAAGAATCAACAATCGACCAAACAAAAGAAACCAACATCCCAATCCCACACCAAGACCTTCTAGCTTCAACGACCAAAGCGGAAAGAGAAGAATGGAACAGAATTTGGACTACGACAAATAGAACCAAAATACATGACATAGCACACCATTTCTATCAAAAAATACCAAATAACAATCTAAGCAGAAAAGAAAGGATAGCTATGACCAGGCTTCGANCAACTACTAGACCAGTTATAAAGAGTCAATTTTGACACGTCGCTAAAGACCTCGTAGTCGATGCGACGCTAAACCCCCATTTAAAAAAAAAAAAGTATTCTCGAAACTCAATACTCGAAACTTTCCTAGGTTTCAACATTTCGAGCAACTCACCGTTAGTAAAACGTCGCATCACAAAATAGATCTTGTTAATCACAGTTGCGCTGCCAACTGATTGCGGACCATAACGAGTGACCAACACCGTATACAAAATAATTCGTCGCTTTCTTTTTGAACTCGTCGGTATGATATCGCTGGATAGAAATTATCAAGAAGTAAATAAATTTATCACTTGTTTTACTTAAATATACTTAAAACTGAGGAAATATTACAATTTTGGGACAAAAAAATTCTCGACGTTAAGAACCAGAGGTTAAACGATACAAAAAATTTTCCACAATTTTCATCTACTTTCGATCCGGGCCCGATGTAGTTACTAGACTCGCCCCGTGCAACATAGTAACTATCAGTATTCCTCGACAGATTGCTTCTCATTTACAATCGCTCGATTTCAGATTGGTGAATTTCACAGCGCGGAGCAACCTGTCTTACATTCCGTTCGCGTCGTCGACAATTAGCCAGATCGGTTGCGGTCGTGCAATTTACACGGGCAGATCCGAGCAATCGACATCCAGAGGCGCAGACATGGCGATGACCGGGCGTACAATGGCCGTCGGATTTGGGGATCGCGTGGAGGCCCTCGTGTGCAATTACGGACCTCTCGATCGGAACACGTCAAGAGAATTGTACGAAGACGGTGTGCCGGCTCTTTGTCCATCGGGAACGATCCGCAGTTCACGGTATCGAGCTCTCTGTCGTAAGTGTTTCCCTCCTAGAAATGTTCCCTCGCTTCCTCTTTCTCTCTCACTTTATGCGTTGCATTGTTTGTTAACTACTTCCTTCGACGACATTGACAACTTTTTCATAGAGTATATAGGGTCTAAGGGACATATATATAGGTTGTAGAGCGAAAAAGTCTTAACAAACACGGGTCCAAAAATTATTTGGCTCAAAAACTATTGGGTTTATAAGCTGTTTTTTCACTAAAATAACTTCACAACATACCTATGTTCAACACGAGATTATTATAGATAAGTTTTTAAATATTTATGGACCCAACGAGTTTTTAGACTCATATTTATTAAGACTCTTTCGCTTGTATTGATGAATATTTTCTATTTCTATTTCAGTTAGACAAAACTAACTCTTTTCGTGCATCCTGTATACGAAGTGAATTTTTCTATTTATTTTAAATGTTTTTTAATCTTTTTACTTATTTTAAATGTCTTAATTACTGCAGCTAACGAAATGTCGAAGTTGTTTACGATTTGTAATGTTGAAATGGTTGGTGATAGATAGAATAAGATTGAGATTAAGGGATTCAACATTAAGACTATTAAAACAGAGTTCTAAAATGACCAGCTCATAATTTTTCATAGAAACTTTATAAATCCACGATGATGCATTTTTAATTATTTAATTCTTGGTAAAATATATAAATACAAATTCGTGTTCTTTATTGGAACTTTTTCTTGCACTTTCGTTCCTCTGATGCAAGTTTATAATTCGCAGCATAAATACGGAAAAAAGAATATATGGTTTTTGCAGATAAAAGAATTTATGAAGTTCTTAAAATCAATTTTTTTTTTTGCTATGAGTCAATCAAATCTATTGATTTCGTAAATATTTTGATAAATTAAATTTATATGCTGATTTCATAAAGTGAGGGATCATTGATTTGCCATTAAATTTATAATATTAATTTATATTATATACTAGTATTATTTATCTATTGTTATATAGTATTGTACAGTATTTATAGTGCTTAAAATATGTAGAAACGCGATATGATGTTAACATTATTTCATTTATTTAATAATGCAATAACTACAGCTACCAAAGCATTGAAATTTCATCAAATAAATTGATCTCTATTAGATTTATTGCTCGAAGAATAAAGATTAAAATTGTATCAAACTTACTTTGCTTAATCGATTGAGGATATTTTCATTCGCTGCACTATTTTCAAGTAATTGCAAAGAAACGAAAACAGAATAAAATTTTAATGTAACAGACAAAATTCTTTAGAAACTAACAAGTACGAATGAAAGAAATATAGCTATCAGTCAGTTTAAAAAAAAAAAGAAAACTGATTTTCTATGTTCAAGTTAACAGAAAACAACCGTAGTGAAATATATATATTGTAAATATTGAAATACAACTCTGTCAAAGAATGAAATGCAGCCACTAGTTTGTACGTTATTTGTGTCTTTCTTTTCCTTTTTTTTTTTCACTGCGTTCAAAACATCAATTTTTCATATGTGTTTGAAATATGATAGACAAAAGAAGATTTTGCGCAATATTGCTTGCAGCGTTTGAAAAAAACGTCTGACTGTTTTTATTTCAAAAATAATCTGATGTATTTGTTTAGTTGCTATTATAAACGTCGGAAATTATTTTTGGAAAATTTATCTACAAGAATGTACTTGACGCTACAACTAACTTGATAAACACTATAACTTGACGTTATCAAACAAGTATAAAACACATTTTTGAGACTTTGAAAGACCATGCTTCCTTGCCCCTTTCATTTTTGGCAAAAGTGTTATTCATTCGCAATTTCAAAAATATCTGAACGATTCCTAAAATACCGACACTCGAGTGACTATTACTTGTTGGAGTTACAAAACTATTACTTCTAATTGTGAGATGCAGTTATTTGAAAGTGTGGAACATTTCTATATCGCGCCTTTGCGGAGAAAAAAACACAAATTGTGGAGCTATATTTTGAAGGAGAGGCTGGTTCTGAACAAAATTAGATATTATTTTATTTTAGTTCAAGAAACACAATTCAAAGTAATACACTTCTCACTTTTTTTCAATATATATTTGTTTATAATGATAGTCAAGACAAAATTCATAATAAAGTATTTATAAACTGTATAATGTCATATGAATCAAGGAAGGCAACATAATTCTTTTTCACTGACTAAATTACAAGGATCAACGAATAAGATTTTTATTGATAAAAGATAAAAAGACTGCCTCTGCAATATTTTTTTAATAATAATTGAGTTTTTTGAGGTCAATTTTTTCGCATGAGAACAATATGTATACACAGAGGAGTCAATTTGAACATTAACACGTTGACTGTTACGATGGTCACTGATGTATTTCTATGAATATTTTAGAATGATTAAAATATGGAATGAGTATCATTATTAAGGAATTTAAAATAATATAAATAAGTAGATAATATTTTTATTGTACTTTATTACAATGTTATAGAAATAAAACATATCTCATAATCTTAACATAATTTTATAATATCTTATAAAATTTTTCTTATAGAAAATATGTTCTGTTCATTTCTGATTGAAACTGGATATAAAACAAATGAAAAGTAATAATATCATTTCCATTGCTTCTGTTAATTAAACTGTTTAAACTATTATTTTCATTATTATTCAAGTAATTTCTTATTAAAAATATGGACTATAAAAAATTCGAATTATAAATTTCTGTGATAAAGTGAAAAACAGCTGAAAGTAATGAAATATAAAATTGTCTTCGAAATAAAATTTAATTTTCCATAGAAAATTCATTTCAAAAGTGTCCTAAAAATCACATATTCTTTATTTCGAGATATTTAGACTTTTATATTTAAGTTTATTGAAACAATATTCTTTGATATTGTCTCTTGCATCGGAAAATCTAAAATACAAATGATATTTTGTAGAAACTTCTACATATGGTACTTTTTCTTTAGTTGCATTCGTTTTATTTATAATTAACGAACAAACTCTGCACTAGTATTTCTTTCCCTTTTTTTTATGATGTTATCTTACTAATAAGTATGGATATTTCCCATTGGTACAATCGAAACGTTTCTTTTTTTTTCTTTGTCTTCGAAAAAATTTTATCTGAAAATTTTTACCAACTAAATTTGAATCTTGCTAATTTCGAATCCGACAGAAGTGAATAGCCAAAAAATATGTTCTGTGTGTAAAAATAAATCAAAAAGATAAAATAATATCTTTTCATCAAACATTTGTTTTGTCAAATTTGAAAATTTGTCAAGCACGTACTTAACTAATTCTTAATTAAACAAGTCTATTTTCTTGAATATTTTATTCTATATTTTATACCTATATGTTCACGTAGAATCCTATCCATTATTCATTCTTGTTCAGTTCGAAATTAACCAAATTCAAAAATATATTCAACAAATTTTCAAACTCGATTTTTTCGAAAACGAAATCTTAAATGAAAAAATGTCACTGTTCCATTGGATTAGAAATATTTCTTTGGCACAAATCATGAATTTGTAAAAAAAAAAAGAAACAAAAAATGTAACATAATTGATCAATTTCACTTGAATGTTCTCTCTCGAGAAAATGTTTACAAATTATTTGGTTCGTGATAAACGAAATAGCCACTTTTCATCATAATTTTTGACCAGTTAATCAAAATAGTCTCCATCAGTGTCAGTGTATTTATTTCTAACGCGATACGGATGTAATCTCAATTTTATAAAAACTGGAAAAACGAAAGATCAAGAAGCCATTAAATGCTCTTTTTATAATATCCTCTTCTATAAAAAATGTTTTCCCTTCCAAACAATTATCTAAACATTTAAAAAAGCGATAGTAGAAAAGGAGAAGTATTTTAGAATTTAGTATCGTTAAGAGTAACGACAGAAATTGATCAATTTTAGCTCTGGCTGGTAATGAAAATTTCTTGCAAGACATAATTCTAAATATTTTGTGGAATCGGAAATAATACTAAACGCTTGAATTAATTCAAAATTCTTTAAATGTCGGAAAAATGATTGAATAATGAACATTCAGCCTTTGCAACTTCTGAAACTATGTGTGTGGTTCTGCTTCGATGAAACTTTTTAAAATATCCTTTTCAGTGATAGATGGCTTATGTTGAACAATCGCTCTTTCAAAAATTTATTACTAAACACTGTATTAATGTTTCATGAATTTGAATTCGAATGTGAAATAATAAATTTAATTTGTTTCCTTTTCTTTGTATATGTGCCAGAAGAATTTATGCCTAAATATAATTTATCTTTAAATAATCAACAAAGTTCTGTTGATGAAGTCAGATGACATATGAGAATTGTTGTACAATACTATACATATAGAATATACTATACTATACAAATTGATATTGGTCAATGTAACACAAATCTTTTACATCTTTCTCTTGAATACTTATAGTTTAGAAGATAATTACGTGAGACATTTTAAATAGGATATTTTAATAATCCAGCTTGTAAAAATTGACTATTTTGGAAGGAAATCATAATACATTTTCGCATGCAGATTTATTCATACTTAAAGAGTATTTACAATTCTTTTTCAACGAAATTAATGAAAGTTGTGGAAATTATATAGCTTTAGGTAAATCATGTTTTTAAAAACGGGTTCGAATGGCTGACGTGATTCCGGTGATCTGGTTATTTGAAACTAAAAAACCAAAATGCAATTTTAATTAGTATAAATATGACTATCGCATGAACCACGAAACAGCGAAATTTCGAAAATTAAAAAATGGCAGTATTTTGTTTGCAGAAGTTAAAATATCGATTTTCCTTGCTTTTGGGTAGTAAAAAAAAAAAATAAAAAAGAACATCAGATTTTGGAATTCATGGTTCATACGATAAAAGTGCATCCGGTGAAGATCTCCTCCAAATTTCAAGTCAATCGATCAACTAAAACATGATATATCCTATATCAGCCAGTTAAAAAAATATGCATTTGAGAAAAACACGTTTGAAGTTTCCGCTGTACAAAAATATTCATACTTACAATCAATCGAGCAGTACAAAAAAATAGAATATTATAAAATAATAATAACAGTAAATAATAATATTATAAAATAAATAATAATATTATAAAATGAAGTATGTTTTTGAGAAAAACACATTTGAAGTTGTGTACAAAAATATTCATACTTACAATCATTCGAGCAGTACAAAAAAATAGAATATTATAAAATAATATAATAAATAATATTATAATATAATATAATAAATATAATAAAAAATATAATATAATATAATATAATAAAAAATATAATAAAATAATAAATGAAAAAATATAATAAATAATATTATAATATAATATATTATTTTATATAATAAATAAATATAATATAATAAATAATATTATAAAATAATATAATAAAAATAGAATATTATAAAATAACATAAAAGTAAATAATAATATTATAAAATGAAGTATTTTTTGAAAGAAACACATTTGAAGTTGTACAAAAATATTCATTCTTACGTTGCGAGCAGTACACCGTTTCCTTTAAACATCCATAACTTTGCTAATTTTACGAATTCAAACAAATCCTTT